CCTGAAGTGTGAGCGGGTTAGAGAGGCAGACCTGGGCCCTTTGACAACGTCCCAGCCTAATAGTGACCTCATTTCTTAAAAATGAGTATGTGCTAGACACTGCACCCACTTGTCCACCACGCTATTCTGGGGAGTCCTCGCACAGAGGTTACCAGAATCACCTCAGGTCACCGGCTGAGAAGTGGATATGAAGCCTCTGAGCCCAGGACTTGCTAGCTACACCCCCTAGAGCCTCTGTTCTACAAAGGGTAGGGATGGGGGTGCTGCCTCCGGGAGGGAGGAGGAGGGCTGAGGCCCTAGGCCCTGGGGCGAGGGCGGGGTAGACAGCCAGCTCTGTGCACTGACCTTCGGCCTGTTTCGGTTTATGAGGCGCTGTCCTCCCCATTATCTCATCTGATCCACCCCGCAGCCTTCTGACAAGACTGGGCGTCCGCTTTTCACTTAGGCTAGTGGCTGGCCAAGGTCACTGGGCAGGTGAGAGCGGGGATCAGAGCCCAGCACCCCAAACCCAAGCTGGGCTGTGGGAAGTCGTGAGGACAGCCTGGAAGAAGGCAGCCTGGGGTGGGGCAGCAGGGGGCCCCTTGTCGCCCCAAAGGGACATGTTTCCTACTCCAGACTTTTCCCCCAAACTGCTGTCCACCCTCCCTCCCCCAGGACTCTACCCCCTTCACAGGCCCCTGCCCTTCACAGACCCCCTTCACAGGCCCCTGCCCTCACCAGCCCAGAGGGGGCCCTGCCTATGGGAGGAGGCCCCAGGGCTGGGCTGTTCGTCTCCTGCCGTGAGCTGCTGGTCACCTCTTATCTGTGTTTGTGGGATCAGGTATGTTGCTGGGCAGGTCAGAGGGAGGTCACCCCGCCAGTGTTTGGGTGTGCCCAACGGGGGCTGGGCATGTTCCCCAAGTCCTGCACAGCCCCTTCTCCACACCCGCACGCAGCAGAAATCTAGCCCTGCAAGCCCCACCCAGGAGCAGGTAGAGAGGCCGCATTTTACCAAGGGGCTCAGGGTTCCCTCCCACCTGCTCTTGTTCCCTGACAGGCCACCGGCCACGCCACCTCTGCACCTCTCTTCCTGAAGGGCTGGGAGCACCTCTGGGAAGTGCTGGGCTTCCTCGTCTCCACACCTGGCACCTCACCTGGCACAAGGTGTTCGATAAATACCTGTGAGGTGGGCTGTGGCCCCCCTGCCCTGGCAGCCACCTCCACACATGCCTGTGGACACGCATTCACCGACACTCTGAACACCACACTTGTGTACGAACACTCACGCACATACCAACACATACCCTCACACACACCTCATACATGCACTTGCATGTGCTGCAGGCATTACACGCCCTCGCACACTCCCAGAGCCCACACTTACGCTGGCATGTACTCACACACCACGCACACACACACACCCTCTTACCCACACAGCCTCACCCAACCACTCCCCCTCACACATGTAGCCCCCACCCCACCCAGCAGGGCACACTCCTGCTCCCTTCCTCTCTCTCCTTTCTGGGGGTCCTGGTGGCCCCTCTTTGTAGCATTTCCCACCTCCGTTCTGGCCCCTCTCCCCTCAGGTGAGTCCAGCTCATCCCTCCAGTCGGGACCAGCTACACCTCACTGCGACAGATGCGAAGGGAAAGCTTGGGCCCTTGTGAAATTATTAAACTTTTTTTAAGGGAATTTTTTCATTAAAGGATTATTTATTTATTTTTATTTATTCATTCATTTATTTCTATTTGAACAGAGAGAGACACATGCACAGAGAGAGAGAGAAAGTGAGAAAGCAAGCCACCAGGTCTGGGACTCGAACTGTGGTAGACCATGTGGGAGTATCCAGCACCTTAACCACCATGCCACCTGCTGGTCCCAAAATTATTAAACATGTTTAAATGGACTCAGATGGTGGCATGGTGGTTGGGGAAGCCGCACGCTGCATGTCTGGCTGAGCAGCTCAAGTCCTGAGCTTGGGAAACACACCGTGCATGTGTAGGTGGGCCCCAACCCCAGACGGTGAGGAGGGATTGCAGGGTCACCAGGCCCAGCAGTGACCACTCATTCCCTCTCTCTCTATTTCTCTAGTGACGCACATGCCCTCTGGTAAATTATTAAATTTTTTTTCAAGTGGGGACAGCAGAACATGAAGCCAGCACAGGGCTCATCCTGTAGTGCAGGGCCTCGTGTGACATGCCCCATGAAGCCAGTCCCGCCCTGTGTCCCACCAGCCTGTTGGCACTCCCCGGAGCCACCCAGCACGGCCTTTGCAACAAACACTGAAACATGGATGCCGGCTTTTCTCACAGGTTGATTTCTAAGACAGTGGCGGGGGTCACCCTTTGCAG